CCGCCGCGCTTCCCAAGCGGCGCACTTATCCAGTGCGCCACCGGGCCGGCCCTACTTGTAATTTTTAAAAATACTTTTAGTCCCCGTGCTAAGGTGTATGGTGTTTATTTTCAGTACATATACTGTGTTTATTAGTGCTCTATTACTTTTATTTACTCCATATACCATAATCTGTCTGTTAAGACAGATTAGCAATTAGAGACAAAAACTAACAGAAATTAGTCTAATCTTGAATTTCAATCTGATATCAAAAGTATGTATCTAAATAATAATTAAACTTTTCAGTTACCCAAGTTATATATCTTTATTTTTATAACTAAAATATCTAATGAGAATATATAAAATGAATCTTATCAAATGCAATATGATTTGGCAAAGCTAGACAAAAAAGGCTTTTGATTAGCTAATGGGTCTAGAGCCATTTGAAACAACTGAAAGAAGTTGTCTCAACACTACTACTTTCACTAGCAAGAGAAAAATCACTTCCATTTAGTTTGTGACTATAAAAACAACAGAAGGGAAAATAAGTAATGTTACTGTACTCTTATTTTTATGGCCCCAACTACTTTTAGTTCAGAACACAACATTTTGGCTGGGTAATAATACCAATAATACCTCGTTAACAAATATTTTCGGTGCCTACCATATGTAAGATTCTGTGCTAGGTTTTATGGGACTAAAAAGAAAAGTCTATATTGGCAAAAGATTTTATTTCCATAACTGACTACTGACTTATGAACATATTTTTATGACCAAAGAATATATCAAATTCAGACATGTTTTCAGAAAGCTCCAGTAAGAGTAAAAAATATTTGTATGTATCAGATGTGGCTTGCCTAAATATTTCCCCTTTCTTTCACTTTAAAATAATTGCCTACAATTTGATGTGTCTAGTTGTCAAAGAGACATTGGTAAGATTCATGAATTTTCTGTATTCTCAGATTTTCCACCACTAGCTAAGATTTTTAGATTACATGGGTAAATTAGATGGCTTAGACATAAAACCTAGCTTTCTACTGCCCTAGATTGTCAATTTAACAATCTAATTAGCACACTTAATCCCACTGCTGTGTATTTATCCAAAAGAGAGGAAATTAGCATACTGAAGAAATACCTGCACCCCCATCTTTATTGAAGCACTATTCACAATAGCCAAGATATGGAATCAGCCCAGGTGTCCATCAACAGATAAATGGATAAAGAAAATGTGGGATATATATACAATGGAATACTACTCAGTCATGAAAAAGAATGAAATCCTGTCATTTGCGGCAACATGGATGAACCTGGAAGACATGTTAAGTAAAATAAGTCAGGCACAGAAAGATAAATACCACATGTTCTCACTAATATGTGGGAGATAAAAAATATATGAATTGAACTTTTAGAAGTAGAGAGTACAATTGTGGTTACTAAAGGCTGAGAAGGGAAGCAGATGGGGGGACAAGGAAAAGTTGGTTAATGGGCAAAACGTTACAGCTAACTAGGAATAATAAGTTCTAGTGTTGTACTATAGTGCTAGACATCTATAATGAACACTAATTTATTGTATGTTCTCAAATGGATAGAAGAGAGGAGACCAAATTTTCCACCACAAGAAATGATAAAGTTTTATGATGATGAAAATGCTAATTACCCTGATTTCATCATCACACATTGTATACATGTATTGAAATATAACTCTGTACCCCATAAATATGTACTATCAATATGTTTCAAAGACAAATAAATTCCTTTAAAAGAAAGAATTATACAGCCAATTGATCTTTGACAAAGGCAACAATAAGATAACATTGGGAAAAAGAATCCCTCTTCAATAAATGGTACTGAGAAAACTGGAAATCCATATGTAGAAAATGAAACTATACTTGTACCTTTTGCCATATACCAACATCAACTCAAAATGGATTAAAAATTTAAATATAAGACCTGAAACTCTAAAATTCCTGAAAGAAAACATAGGGGAAACACTTCAGGATATAGGACTGGGCAAAGACTTTATGAATACAACCCTAAAAGCACAGGCAACAAAAGAAAAAATAAACAAATGAGATTATATCAAACTAAAAGCCTTCTGCACATCAAAAGAAACAATTAACAGAGCAAAAGACAATCTGCAGAATGGGAGAAAATATTTACAAACTATGCAGCCGGCAAGGGATTAATATCCAAAATATATAAAGAACTCAAACAACTCAACAGTAAGGAAACAAGTAACCAAATTGAAAAAATGGGCAAAGGAGCTGAATAGACATTTCTCACATGAAGATATACAAATGGCCAACAGACACATGAAAAAATGCTGAACATCACTTGGCATAAGGGAAATGCAAATCAAAACCACGCTGAGATATCATCTCACCCTAGTTAGACTGGCTATTATCAAAAAAACAGAATATCAAATGCTGGCAAGGATGTGGAGAAAGGGGAACCCTCCTAACTGTTAGTGGGACTGTAAATTGGTGCAGCCATTATGGAAAATGGTATGGAGATTCCTCAAACAACTACAGATAGAATTGCCATACAATCCAGCAATCTCACTGCTGGGTATATACCCAAAGGAATGGAAATCATCATGTCAAAGGGATACCTGCACTCCATGTTTATTGCAGCTCTATTTACAGTAGCCAAGAGTTAGAATCAACCTAAATGTCCATTTACAGAAAACTGGATAAGGAAAATGTGGTATATATATACTCAATGAAATACTACTCTGCCATAAAAGGAATGAAACTCTGCCATTCGCAGCAACATGTGTGAACTCAGAGAACATTAAGTTAAGCAAAATAAGCCAAGCACAGAAAGAGAAATGCCACATGTCGTCTCATAAGTGGAAGCTAAAATAAAGAAAGAGAAGAGAGAAAGTAAGAAAGAAAGAAACAATCACAATAATATATTGAATTTTAAAAAAAAAAGAACAGAATGTAGTTATTAGAGGTGGGAAATGGGGATGGGGAGGGGGTTAGCGAGAAATTAGTTAAGGGTCACAAAGACTGATTATGTTTTGTAAACATGAGTATACTAATTATCCCGATTTGATCACCACATATTATATACATCTACTGATATTCAATTCTGTACCCCACAAATATATATAATCAAATATGTTTCTTTTTTTTTTTTTTTTTGTCGTCTTTTTGTCTTTTTCCATGTCCGGCAACG